TTTTATATGGAGGGAATATATGAATGTGGCTTTTGATTTTTCCCCCTCTGTAGGACATTTGGTTGGCTTCTGTCTCTTAAATGTTGCCAGGACATATTTTGATGCTTTTCTTTTTAACGAGTCAGTTGTTGAAATCATTATTTGGCATGCAAATACTGTTTGTGGAGCCAACATAGAAAGCTGCCTCCTGCCTGTATGGCATCTATTTAGCACTGATAGATTAATATAATGTTGTATCCACTATAATGAACTTTATTTACAGATGATGTGGAATTCTGGAAAACGACATGTTTGTCACAGATTTTTAAGACTTTGTCCTCAGTCTGCAAAAACGGGATGCTTTGATACTACAATTGTATTATATATTACTTCTGATTTTAAAATACTCTCAGCCCTTATAGAAAAACCAGTCAGCATTTTCCCATCCTATTCTAAAAATACTGCAACTGAGGATGGAAATTAAAATAACAAGGTGAAATAATAGCACATTAGAAGTTTTTTGTTGTTCAATTCAGTTAGAATCACAGTCATACTGGATAGGTGACAAAGTATCTGGATGTATGATTTTTTAAACGGTGATTTAAACTAAAACTTTAAAAACTCAGGTATAGAAGCACCAGTGAACACTTCAGTAAATGAGTTTTTGACAATTAAAACTCTGGTTGGCCAGGTTAAGTTATTTTTCTCTATCCACGAAGGGAGTCTTAAATTGGAATGAAAGTCTTAAATTGGACCTAGCAAGTCAGTGTCCTACGTGCTATCGAGAGGGTATTGTCTTCCATGATCGGCGACTGTCAATACGAGCTGCCCAAACAAAACTCTCGCAGTTAAATGTGTCTCTACTCTTAACATATGGACTGAAAAGTAAATAAGACCTTAACAAATGGGAAAGCTGTTGGAAACATTTTCAGAGTTCGTGCTGAAGCAGTGAGAGAAGGTGGTATTTTATCATCTGCATGGTGTGTTTTGCAGAAGCTTTTGAGTCTGTACCAACTGAAGGAGAGGGTGTGGACACATTTACCTCAGCAATGAAGTTAATAAAACAATAGTGTAAAAATAATTTATTTAACTCATACTATCCAGAGCACTGTAGGAGTCAAAAACTATATGGATGGCAAGCCTCACCACTGAATATCTCACAATTGATGCTAGTGATAGGATATGGGAAATGCTGATTTGCATGCTTAATTATGGGCAGTGTGTGACAGTCTGCTGGGCCTGTACCAGACGTTCTAGCAGTTCATTGAGGCTTCTAGGAGTTTGGAGAAGAGAAAGCTCATTTTCGGCTTGGACTAATTTTTAACTTTTTTCTGTGAAAGTTAGAGATTTTAGTGGCATGTCAAGTTTTGTTGGTTCTTCTCCTCCCTCTCTGAGTGTAACTTTTTAGTTGAGTTTGTCAGCCTTTCCTTCTTCATATGGTCATTAGATATCAGAGTTCTTTTAGGCTTTTGCCCTTTTTTCTCCCTGCTTTGTCCCCAAATAATCTCATCCATGTCCATAGCTTTCATGATCATTAATTGCATTCAGATACACATTTTAAGGTAAAGACTCTCTTCAGACCCAACTGCCTCAACTTGGATATCTTTAAAAGTACTTCAAATGGAGTATTTCCAAGACTTTAACACATGATTTTTCCTCCCAAGCTTAGCCCTCCACTAGCATTTTCTGGCTTAGAAAATGACACCAGCTATTCAAGCCAAAGCCACAGAATCATCTTTAACCCCTTTGACTTCTTGCTTCATATCCCATTTATCATCAAATTTTGTCCATTTTACCTCTAAAAAAACCCCTGGATCTTTTTATAGCCCCTCCTATGACCCCAGCCTACTCTTACAGCCTCTCTGGGATCTGCCCTGTGTAAACTGTGGCGCCCCCATTCAATACCCTATGTTTATTCTTCACGATGAGACCAAAGTAAGTCTGTGTTTTTCAGAATCCACGCTGAGGTGAAAGAAGCCAATCGGTAAAGGCTACGTATTGTACAGTTCCAAATATATTAATGTTCTGGATAAGAACTTTGGAGACAGTAAAAAAGATCAGTCGTTGCCAAGAGTTATTGAGAAATGAGGGATGAAGAGGCGGAACATGGGATTTTTAGGGCAGTGAATGTGCTCAGTAGGATACTGTAATCATGGCTATGTGGCATAAAACCCATGAAGTGTACACCAAGCCCGATGTCAGCTCTGGAGTGGGGTGATAGTGGTGTTGGTGGTGGCTCCCCCACTATAATGACTGCACTGCTCTGGTGAGGGATTTTGCTGACGTGGAGGTTGTGTGTAAATGGGACAGGAGATACATGGGAACTCAGGACTTTCTGCTCAGTTTTGCTATGAATCTAAAACTATTTTGAAAAAAAATAAAGTCTTAAAAAAAATCCATTCTGATCTTGCATAGGCTCCTTACCTCCTGAAAGTGCTTTACCACCTTCCAATGCTACTAAAGGGAAACCCCACTGGCTCAGGAAGGAACCCGCTTGCAATGCAGGAGACTCGGGGGACAGGGGTTTGATCCCTAGAACAGGAAGATCCCCTGGAGGAGGGCATGGCAACCCACTCAGTATTCTTGCCTGGGCAATCCCATGGACAGAGGAACCTGGAGGGCTACAGTGCCAGGGGTTGCNACATTCTCAGTAGAAATGTTGCCTTGCTCTTACAATAAATTCCACCCATTATCTTCCATACTTGCCATCAGTTGCCAAGGAAACTTTTCTTCCTTGTATATATAGGAGAATTTTTGTCTTTAAAAAACATCTCTTAGGGGGCAGTTGTATATTGCATTTCTCATTCTTATCCGGAAGTAGAAAGGAAAACATCATTTCCAATCTTGATGTAAAGAAGTTTCAGCCAAACGTGGAAGATGACATATCTTAAAACATGTTTTGCCACATGAGCTAAGACAGTGGTTTCTAAATGCTAGTTCATGGATTAGTTTGTATCAGAAATAATACGGCAGCTTCTCAGAGAAGCACAAATCCTTCCCCTGGTTGAATGAATCAGAATCATTTTAATGAAAAACATATCCATTTAAGAGACTGAAGTGGAACTACACATGTTATATAAAAAATGTGTCCAGGAAACAGTGGACAGGAAAAGCAAATTACAGAATGGTAGATACAGAATGGTCACATTTGTGCGAGGAAAAAAAGATATAAATATGCATATGGTTATATTGGAGAAGGAAATGACAACCTGCTCCAGTATTCTTGCCTAGAGAATCTCATGATAGAGGGGCCTGGCAGGCTACAGTCCATGAGGTCGCGAGAGTCAGACAGGACTTAGCGATGCTAGCCGTGTCTGACTCCTGCGACTGAACCACCGCTACCACCATGGGTTGTATTAGGGCTTCCCTGGTGCCTCAGACAGTAAAGAATCTGCCTGCACTGCAGGAGACGGGCTTGATCCCTGGGTTGGGAAGAGACCCTGGAGAAGGGAATGGCTACCCACTCCAGTATTCTTGCCTACAGAATTTTATCAGTGAAGGAGCCTGGCAGCTACAGTCCATGGGGTCGCAAAGAGTCGTACACAACTGAGTGACTAACACTTTCACTTTTTTTTCACTTTTCACGGTTGCATTAAGTACCAAAGTTTTTGAAAGGCAATACACAATAATTTATTACCAATAGGGGTATTCTAAGAAGTTCAAAGTGGAGAAGAGGGGATTTACTTTTCACTTTTTACCTTTCTGCACTTTTTGAACTGTTTTTTAAAAAGTACATGCTACGTTTGTACTTGAAATTAATTAATTAGCAGTGAAAAATATGCTAAAAGTTTCCCAGGGCTTTCTAATCATCAACCGGTTTTAGGGACCATTGCACCAGGAAAATGAGATAAAAGTCCATTAGTATAATTTTTCATTTAAAGGAATTGCACTTTCTCTCAAGATGCAAGTTCTCCTAATCATGCCACAAGTACAAGGACTCAAAGCAGCACTGACACTTTCTAGCACTGGGTTCACAGAAAATAATAAAGGAAAATACATAACGGGGGAATAGACAAGCAACTTACATTGAAATTTGGAAGTGGAAACAATATAGCCCAAGGAGGGGGAAAAAAAGTCTTAAAACTACTGCAGGGATGGAGAACGGGAAAGTAAATTCCCATCCACCATCTTATATGCCACATACATAAAACTGCTTTGTCTCTCTTCCTTTAATGAACGATCCATAAATTAAGCTATAATTTTTACTGTTTTAGTTCCCTACTGAAAGGTCTGATTTTCAACAGCCAACATGTGCTGTACTTAGTTGCTCAGTCATGTCCAACTCTTTGCAACCCCATGGACTGTAGCCCACCAGGCTCCTCTGTCCATGGGGATTCTTCAGGCAAGAATACCGGAGTAGGTTGCCATACCCTCCTCCAGGGGATCTTGGCAACCCAGGGATCTAACCCAGGTCTCCTGCATTGCAGGCAGATTCTTTACAGTCTGAGCCACCAAGGAAGCCCATTTTCTAGAGCCTAGGGTGAACAATATGAAAATGGGCACTCAACAGTGGTGATTATCTGATGTCAGGGCTTTTCCTTCTGTCCAACTTCTTTCTCCACTTCTTGGAAAATCCTCTCTGGTTAGGTGGGCACTCAGGAAGAGAAATAAAGTCACTGTTTATTCATGATTTGGGGTTCTTCTGGTAGCCAGCACTAAAGTCAAATTACCATAAGGCCATCTGTTTTCCAAGGCCCATTGCAATTTGTCCCCAAGTGGTATCCATTGCATAGTTTCCCTGACTTCATTAATAAACTGAGATGAAGAAATCATTCCCTTACTTTCCAGGTAAGCTAAAGCAATTTGTCTTAATTACTGCCAGTCTTCAGTGAGTGACTGCCTGGGGATCTTAACCATTCACCTCAGTCATAAAGATATGAGTAGTGAATTGATAGTCATTTTCACAGAGGCAGCTCTGGGTTTTTAAGTTCCTGTCACATACTTTTTTTCCCCAATTGAAAATATATATACTGCATATATATGTGTATAGATATCTAAATGAATGCTTTTTAAAATTACAGTCTATCCTTTCCCTTGGCATTGTGGCCGACTGTGCTGTTGTTGGGAAGGAAGATTCTTTGAAAGGTCAGATCCCATTAGCCCTCTGCGTGTTGAAAAAAGGTAAGCTGTCTCTGTCCTCCTGACTGTTAGGGCCCTGAATAATTAAGGTGAATTCAGAGCTTACCATCTGAACTTTCTCCCTAGATATAAATACAACAGAGGAACAAGTTTTAGAAGAAATTGTGAAACACGTTAGACAGAGCATTGGTCCCGTGGCTGCTTTCCGGAAAGCGGTGTTTGTCAAACAGTTACCCAAAACCAGATCTGGCAAAATTCCCCGCTCGGCTCTCTCTGCCCTTGTCAATGGCAAGCCATACAAGGTAAATTATCAAGGATGTTTAGTGCTTCGTTCTGAAATGTTTTCCCCCNTTTTTTTTTTTTCATTTATTTTTATTAGTTGGAGGCTAATTACTTTACAATATTGTAGTGGGTTTTGTTATACATTGACATGAATCAGCCATGGATTTACATGTATTCCCCATCCCAATGTTCATCTCAGCACTGTTTATGATATTTTTTTATTAAAAAAATTTTTATTTTTTAAGCAAAAATATTTAAAATATTTTTATTATTTAATAAAATATTAGTGAATATGTCAGTTAATTTCAAACAAATTTGTGGAAACTCAGTCTTATTAAGGATAAATTTTGCTTCATTGCAGTCAATAGTGACTGTTAGTGAGAAAGCAAACACTTGAGACTGGTTATAGATATTTTAAGATTTCTAACTTGATATATATGCTCATTATCTCTCCTGCTTTGAGTGAAAATTATTTTAGGGTATTTAAGCTGATTCAAGCATATGCATTCTTTTAATTTAGCACATTATATATGCATAGATATACATATTTTTAATCATAAAAATTTTGTAAAAAGTGATACAACAATAAAGAATGGTCATATGGGGAAAGCAAAAAAAAATTCTTTCTATGGAGGCTCATTGAAAGAATGATATAGAAAGTACCATTTAGGACTGACAACAGACATGACTGAGCGACTAGGCATAGTGCATCTAGGACTGACAGTTTTCTAACTGAACCATTTATTTTACTGTTAAAATGTTAATCACTCAGTCATGTCGACTCTTTGCCACTGCATGGACTGTAGCCCACCAGGCTCTTATGTCCTTGGGATTCTCCAGGGAAGAATCCCACTCCAGGGAGTGGGTTGCCATTCCCTTCTTCAGGGGATCTTCCTGACCCAGGGATCCAGCCCAGGTCTCCTGCTTTGCAGGCAGATTCTTTACTGTCTAAGCCACCGGGGAAGCCATTTTAAAATATTAGGTCCAAGTTTGCTGTTTTTGAACCTTTCCATATGTATATGATAATAGGGAATTATTGCTTAATTGTATGGAGAGTGGAAGGGGTTCATGAAAGCACTTTCAGCGGACTCTAATCTTTCTAGGTGTCTCCTACAATTGAAGATCCTGGAATTTTTGGGCACATAGAAGACATGCTAAAGCAGGCTTCATGACTTTTTTTCTTCTTTTCTAATTGGAGTAAGTTTTTAGAATTACTTCCCAGAAATAGATATTGAAATAGAAATAATATGCAAACTGAAATGTAAATTGTAGGGCTTAGTCTAAAAAAATGTACTTGTAGACTAATAAGACCTCTGCCTTCTGTTTGATGAGCCCAATGAGCAGTCAGCAGTTGCGTGTACCATACTCATTATATAGATTTTCCAGAACTTCCATTTAAGAAAAATATACCCAATGTGTGATTTTTATAAATTGTAACCCCCACCCCCCACCAAAAACGTGACACTAATATCAAGCCTCTTCCTGAAATTAGGACTCTGCAGCTTTGATCCAAGACCTAAACCTCAAGTTGAAGTCAGAAAACAGTTATTATTTTCTTATAGAAGTTCTGAGTATCTTTGAATATTCTTGAGATGCCCACAAGCTTGGTTATTTTAAATGGGTGAAATGGGAAGTTCCAGATAATCATTGAGACAGGATTTTCTAGGTAGGAGAATTTGTCTCCTCACACATCCTGAGGGAAGGCTGCGTACAAAGGTGCAGCTCTCTTGAGCCCTGTGTCACTTAGTCAAGGGAGGTCACAGGCCTGGTAGACAGCAGAGAGGTCGGTTAATCCTAGCTCTTAGTCATGCAGATGAGGCCTCTCTGAAGCCCCTCTTACTCTTTCAGGTTCAGAGTTGACTGTATGCTTTGTAATGATCTCAACTTCTTTTGGAAAAAAGGAAATGATGTAGAAATGGGTAAACTGTCAAGGAAAGCTCTTAAGGAAAAAATGTAAAATTTTTTACATTGTACATATGCTAAAGACCAGGAGGAGTTTTAAGAGAAACCAAAATTCCAGATTTTATGTGAAATCTCTAATTTTAAAATAACTCACTGAAAAAAAGTTGTCACATCCAAAGCACATCTTTCTATTTAAACTTTTGTAAAATTATTGAGCATTAAAAAATAACTAGAAATGAGTCTTTGTGCCAATTAACCAGAGTATATACAGATAATTAAATATTTGGTTTACTTAGGGTTCTACATGGTATCAGTTGTTAAAGAATACATTCAAACTAAAAAAAAAAGCCATACCTATTGGGTATTTGACAGTTCTCAAAGTATTCCTCAATCTTTCAGTCCATCAGTAATGTTATTTTAAGAGCAATTGTCCTAACATAAAAGTCTGGTAACNAAGCTCCTTGTATATATTTTTTTCCTTTTTTTATTTTATTTATTTATTTATTTTTGTTCCTTAGTCCACAGGTAACAAGAGAAGATAATGTTTTTTCTTTATAAATTTTTTTAAAAATAATTGCTTTGATTCTTGTAAACAGTTTGGCTTTGTTTTGTATTGAAAAGGAGATCAAGCCATCACAGTGCTATTTCTAAAGATATAGGACATCCCTGATTGCCTTTAAAGGTCTATTTTTGGCTCCAGTTCCAGGTTAAATCATTCTTTTTTACATGATCAGAGGCAGGTTTTCAGCTTTAAGGATTGACAGACTTGAAGGAGAACCATGTGGAAGCATGAAGCGTGCTTCCAGGAAACATACCGATTTGACTGTTACAATTCAAAAACTGTAAAAATGGTGGAATGGTAAAATACAAACAGTATTTGGAATTGTCAAATGTTTGCACTCAAGACTCCATGAACCATATATTTTATTTTTTAAAAAATCATATTTATATCCATTTACATAAGACTTACACATTTAAAAAGAAATACATACACAGTAATACATAAAGGCCTAGTATATTACAATAAAACATGGAAAAACAAGTGGCTCCATTTCATAAAAGCATCTGTTGTACAGAATTTATGATGTGGATGATGCTTATTATTCAAATGACTTAAGTATTTTCTTACAGTTGTAGTAAACTAATCAAACTTAATATCTGACTCCCCCCAAAATCACATTTTCAGTGAATGAACCATTACTTGTGGTTATTTCCTTAGAATTCAGTCTTCACAAAGGTTTTCACTGCTGTCTTCGTAGATGGTAGTGCACTTTAGGCAGAGTAGACTGAAAAGACGGCATCTAAAATGTGTAATGGACATTAATTTACTGAAAGATTCCAGACTGGAAAAGCTCCCTCTGCTATTCTTGGTGCACTTCCATGCATCTTGCCCACTTTTGTCCTAAGAGATAATGAGTAGGGGGTTATCTTGGGGCTAACCAATAGCTGTATGTAATCAATATTTGCTCCTAATTTTGTGCAGGCAAGCTTCAAAAATAAGATTTGCTCAACTTCATGGAAAGTATGGCAGCTAAGACAAAGATATTCAGAGAAAATGTCAGCAGTCCTTTTTGAAAAATGTACGGCTTGCTCATTAATACACTGAGCTGACCTATTCCATGGAAGAGATCTCTATTCTAACTTCTATATGGTCTTCAAAAGACACTGTTGTTTAATAGTGACAAAAACATAGTGATAATCAGTGACATAAAGAATCTGGGTCAGTGATGTGTCATCACAGATTCTTTCCAGTCATAATAAGGAAAAGATCACACTTACTATCCCAGCACAAGAAAAATATTAACATTGGATTGGTCAAAAAGTTCATTTAGGCTTTTCCATCCATAAGGTTTTATGGGGGCTTCCTAGGTAGCGCTAGTGGTAAGGAACACTCCTGCCAATGCAGGAGACAGAAGAGACGTGGGCCTGATCCCTGGGTCACGAAAATTCCCCTGGAGTAGGGGAAAATGACAGCCTGCTCCAGTATCCTTGCCTGGAAAATTCCAGGGACAGAGGAGCCTGGAAGGTTACAGTCTATGGGACCACAAAGAGCTGGATGCGATAGTGCATGCACATGTACATACACTTACATAAGATCTTACGGAAAAAGCAGGATGAACTTTTTGGCCAACCCAATATGTGCTGAATTACGTTAATGACAAAAGTGCTGATAGTTCCTCAAAATAGAAATTGGTTGTCCCAGATTAATTTACTGGAAATAAATATGTTTATCCCATTTAATGGTAAAAGCTAGGAAATAAGGACTAGAATGCCATGCACAAAATACAGACTGCAAATAGTTAAAGAGTAGTTCTACCCATCAGTTAAGAGCTAAGAAGCAAGCAGTACTCAGTATATTAAATAGTCATTTGTAAATTTGTGATGTATTCACTTCCTTGTAAATTATTATATTATGTGTAGAAACTATTATAAATGGTATTTTGGAAAACCTCATTTAGCCAAATTATTAATTGTATACTGTAATGAAATTTTTAATGTTAGGGTTTTGCATTCTGAAATTAAATCTCTTATCTGAAAGCTTTTGTTTTATCATCAGCAGCTTCAAATAGTGACCCAAATAAGGCAGCGTACCAGCTCCTCTGTTAGGCCCCGAAGACCATCAGTAAACTGTGTGGAGCTTTTAGTTCAAGGCAATGAATAAACAGCACAAGATGAGCTGTTCCTCTCCCCATTCCTGGGCACACATTTGTTTCTAAATATTTTCCTAAAAAATATTTTCCCAAAATATTGATCCATGTCCATGGTAGACTATTTTAGTAGAGTTGTAGATTAAAAAATGTCCTTGACATTTATATTCTAGGAAAACTCAGTTTTACTAGGACTGTTCTTTAATAAAACTTTGGAAGTAGGTTCCATCAACTAGTATTTCTCCAAGTACAAATACCTTATATCTTAATGATTATACAGCATGGTTTTCTATTCTGTCCACCATTGTTATAAAGTTATTTCACTTTTTTCCTATGCTGTACATCTGAGATACTTAAAATTCCTATGTATTTCAACAAATATAAATCATTTTGAAGAAAAACAACATACCAGAAATTCAATTTTCTCAGTTATATTTTTGTTTTTTAATATGAAATCACCTCCATGTCATTTGCCTGTCTCTGCTACTATTTTGACTATGGATACCTACTAGAATACTGTTTGCCTATTTCAGCTTCCCCTATATAAAATACTCACTTAATAGTGTCTTATTCTGAAAATGCCGAACTCTCATCAATCAAATGCTATGTGCATTAATATAAAATGCTCCTAAAAAGTAGAAGCCAGGGTGGTAGCAATGCATTGATGTGAAATAAGATAGTGACAGGCCTCCAATAGAGAGGTCTTAAACCACAGCAGACAGACAGTGATAGAAAATCCTAGATTAAGAATTACATTATGAAGAGGCCTTTGTACTCTCTAGAAATTCAAAGGGGTTATTATTTCACTTCTGTACTGCTAGGCCATACCAAAGAGAGCATCGTGTATATTTCTAGTCTATGTAGATTCCTTTTTTTGGTTTTTTTTTTTGGCGGTTTGTTTTTGTCAGCCAACGAAAACTACTCACAGCAAGTCAGTGCTGCCTCCTTTGAGTGGCTGGTCAACATGAGTATGTGCGAACAGTGGAGCTGTCTAACCTCTGCAGTCTTGATGAAGCAGCTGCGAATGGAGAAAAGGGCTTTAGAGGGACTCAGGTGATGAAGCACAAAATTTCAGATGAGAAAGGTTTGCTTTCCCTGCATAAAGGGATCTGGACATATTAATAGATCTTCTTTCTCTCAGACAGAAGCCACTCATATTCCTTTTCTTGAGACCAAGCTACTACTGAAAATGTATTCCAGTGTGATTCAACTGAGCTTTCAAGTAGTGTATTCCTCCTAAGATGAAGTCTGTTAATAGGAATGGTTCCCTTGGGTGCTCCTGTTTTTGAAGCAAAGATTGCTCTTGGAGAATGCAGTATGATGGATTTTCTTCCCTCCCATATTGAAAAGCTTCTACACTCATTTTAATCATGTTAACTTCCTCATGAACTTTGATACTGTATTCCATAATAGTAACATGTTAGAAGAAATGTAGATCAAAACTCATGGCTTATACTAGAACTAATTTTAAGGGCCATGATAACTATCACCTTGAAGAGAAATAATGATTGATTGGTGGTTTTCTCAATAAAAGAGAGTGGGACTTTTTTGTTCAGTGCCTACCAAACAGACAAAACTTTGTGACTACAATTTCAGGGTTGTCTCTCTCCTCCAGATTGGCTGTTTTCCTTTGTGAAATATATAACACAAGTCTAATGTCCACAGAAGGAAATACTAATTGGGAAATTACTGTTGGTTTTGTGTTTGTTTAATTCTCTTCTCATAGTTGTGCTTGTTTATTTAAGGCCTTCTGCCTCGGTCAGAGATGAAAATATCTGATGAGTCCAAGTTTTTACGATGAAATATAAAACTTTGCAGTATTCAAGCATGTAGAACAACAGTGGAGTTAATTTCCATTTATTAAGGACAGTTAGTCCAAATCCAAACTCTAAACAAATTATTTACTTGGCGAATAGAAGAGTAAAGAAACACAAATCATGCAGATGTTTTTCTTCCTAGATGTGGACATTAGCCAAAATTGTCCTTTTTAGGATTTAATTTTAAATTATTTTCTAAATGTGAATAAAGTGCTGTAAGTTCATGCATTAGCAATTTACAAAAGAGAATAGTCTGATGAAAGCAAAGCAAACTTCAAGCAAAGCAAACCAACTTAAGAGTCAATTTCAGAAAGCTGTGCAAGATTGGAGAATGATAGCATCTGCTAAACAATCGTTTTACTTTATAAGCACAAATGCAAAACTACTGTACCATCTGTTGTCATTTTCCTCGACTGCCCAGATGTTGTAGTTAACCTGAATCCAGCCGGCAGTGTTTCTGAGGACCCGGGCATCATGCTGATTCCATGTACTTCACGGGGAGGAAACTGCCTTCTCCAGGTTGACCCACGCCTGAAATTCTTGTCCTCACTCTGCCAGTACAGAGTTATAATTTGATGTAATGAAAACAAGTAAACTAGTCCAGGTGCTTAAAACCATGTGCTTAGAAACATGTAACAGAAAGTTAATGAGAAGGATAAGCAACAACATCACAGGAAAAGGTTTCCATGAGAGGATATTAAAAGATGTGCTCTCTAATCTCAACTGAGGATGTGCTCTCAGTGGCGTCTACAGACGCCCACGAGATTATTTCAGTGGGATATGGATAATCAGCTTCTCTCAGAAACAAGTCTGTTCTGGCTCTAGCTAAGTTGTTTAGACATTTTTGTTCACATTCAAAGAACAAAACCAAAATCAAGCACAGCAACAAACAGAACACTAAAACAAGAGACTAGAGGGTTTAAATGATAAAGTCATGTGCTGCTGTTAATAATAAGAAAAATAGGCAGCATATTTTAAGGGCAGATAGTCATGTTCCATTTAGGCTTTTCAGCTTGTCCATTATTTTCAAGAAGCAACACTAGAACCCACATAGATGTGTACCTTGGCCTAGGCATCTACTTCAGGTCAGTCTGTGCTTTAGAATCTAACAATATAACAGATCTTTAATGATTTTTATTAAAATTCCTTTTCTAACTTTTAAGTAAGGATAATTGTATTTAAAACTGTGTATGGGTTTATGTATACTATCTTTTTGTTTCAACAATTAAGAATAAAGATTAAAAGCAGATACAAACTATTTTGTACACAATATATAAACAGCATGGTCCTACTATATAGCACAGGAAACTATATACAATATCCTATAATAAACCATAATGGAAAATAATATGAAAAGAATAGATGTAGAACCAAATCACTTTGTTGTATACCAGAAACCACAACATTGTAGATTAGCTATACTTAATTTTTTAAAAAGGAATAAGGATTGAAAATATTATCCAACAAATTGTAAAATTAAAGTCAGTTAAATATCAGCTGACTTTTAAAAATAATAAATATTATCCTAACTGGACAAGAGTAAGAATTTTAGGAAGCTAGCTGAGGTTCAGACTATAGAACTTCCTCTAACCTCTAACTTCAAACCTCTAATCTCCTCCACAAAGCTTGAGTTTTATAAAACCAAGATCATGTTCCCTGCCCATTTGAATGTGGTATTACTGTGCCATTTTAAGAATTGCTGGGTTCACTCACAAAGCTATTGTAATCAGCTTTTCTTTACATCCAAGAAACACCTGCATTTTGCAACACATAATTATGCATCTCTGTATTTTCACCTCATACTCAGATTTTCCTCCCCATTTCTTCCAGAAAGATCCTTGAAAACCTCAAAAGGACTATTAAAATCCACAGTTCATCAGTGCAGAGTGTGATAAAGTCCCCTGTATTCCTTCATCTCAGGAGGCTACTTACCTGTTTACTATTTTCAGATCATTTAAACATGCATATACTATGTGTAGAGATTCTCATACTCAATATAGTTTTCAATTCCTATGACTGTTAAAATGTTACTCATGTTTTTAAGGAAAACACAATAACAATATCTAAAATAAAGCTTCCCATTTATTGAGAGCAAGTCTGTTTCTTTAAATATCCTAAAATTTCCTGTGAAGATAAACTGGTATTTAGAAATAAGCACGTTCCTTATTAAAAAGTTGAATTTATCAGGATGTGTGTTATCATTACTTATAATTTAAAAAATGTTGCTCAACAGTATTTTGCTGTTACAGCCCATGAAAAATGGCTGATTCTGAATTATTTCTTACTGTATCTAACTGCTGATATGATAATACTTATGAATCCATAAAGTTCTGATGAATAACAAATAATCTAGGTGGAGGAAATTCTAGACTCCATCTATACAAGCATCTGGTTAACTTGAGCAGTGGTCCTTGAAAGCCATCTTGCTTGCACTAAGGCCCCTTTGAGTGACAGACAAGGACTTACTTCATCCAGGCGCCGTTCGGTTCCCAGAGCCAGGAGGTTATTGTATTCCCTTTCAAGAATCTGCCTTGCCTGTTGACATCCAATTACAGTTACCATCACTGAAGGCACATTTTATTGGAAAAATCATACGATTATATTTACCTCAGAAAACATCCTAATTCCCTGTTTTATTTACAAGGGTCTTATTTTTTCGATCCTCCATGTATAAACCATTGTAAATTTTTACTGTAAGCACAGGAAGGGTGATTTTCTTTAGTCTGCAGACAGCAGACGTGTAGCCTCACACAAACATCTGAGGTAAAGGAGTTTGACCTCACTTATTACTTTTTCTAATTGAATCCTTGATGTAAACTTTGAAATGCACAAAAATGAACTGGAAAGTAAAGTTAGACTGCTGTATTTTTTATCAAATCTACGCAGATAGTTCTCAAATCTGACCAAGGATCATCATTTGGGGAGACTAGATAGTTAGGATTTCTGTGCCCTCTCTCTTATATCTGATTTCTTAGGCCTGTTATGTAGATTGCAGATTTTCTTTTAAATTTTTAAGGAGCTCCCGTCATTCAAGTAATTACTCAGACTTGGGAATCAATGGCAAAAAGCAAAGCTGCTTGTCTGAATAATTCAGACACGTGAATAGAAATGACTGGCCCACAGAGAGGCAGAGACTAAAGGCCATCTGTCAGGGCCACTGTGTGGGGGAATCTGGCATTCAGGTGGGAGGGTGGACCACATAACCTCTAAATCCCGTGCTGCTTCATTTTATGATTTTGTTTTGGCTAGAAATCCAGTAGCTTAAAATTAAAGCCCCAGTGACATATTTCAAAGGTTGAGCTAACTCCCATTAAGAATCATGAATACACAGCCAACTAATTTTTTCCCCCCTTAAAGTTTACTTTGTCCTTATATACAGCTTCCGTGGTGGCTCAGCTGGTAAAGAATCGCCTGCAATGAGGGAGACTTGGGTTCGATCCCTGGGTCGGGAAGATTCCCTGGAGAAGGAAATGGCTACCCACTCCAGTATTCTGGCCTGGAGAACTCCATGGACAGGATAGTCCATGGGGTCGCAAAAAGTTGGACATAACGGAGTGACATTCACTTTCACTTGTATTAGCTAGGACACAGCACAACGACAGCACGGAGGGGCTTGCCTGGGTGTTCTGTGTTGGAATCTGTAGCAATAAAGCTAAGCTGCTGTAGTCAAAGTTCTCATCCAGGGCTATAAGGGAGCCGTGCACACCGCTTTCAAGAATATTATTTGCATATTCTCGAAGTCCAATTGCTTGTATCCAGCGAATAACACGATCATTGCTCCACACCAACACATCTAGGAAAAGAGGTGCAATATTTTAGGCTTCAGTATTTTGCATGATAAATAAAAAAACTGCTAACTAAAATGAGCCATGGGCGTCTGGCCAGTTCATTTATGTTGACTTCTTTATCTACTTCCTAAGGCACGTAGCACCCTTGTGCTACATGTATTTACTCTTCTAATAACTATACTTTTAGCCTAGAAAAATTTTGTCATTTTAAGAGTGCTTGTTATCACTGAAATGAGAGCATTTCCATCACATGGAACATAATGTCTCAAAGCATTTCTTGTTTTCATTCTCAAGCTCCTGGGGTCTGTCTGAAGTTCAGTGCTTTTACCACCAGATGGGGACATTTCTTGATCATCTGAGTCAAATTCACCCATTCCAATCCATTTTAGTTCACTGATTCCTAAAATGTCAGTGTTCACTCTTGCCTTCTCCTGTTTGACCACTTCCAATTTACCTTGATTCATGGACATAACATTCCAGGTTCCTATGCAATATTGCTCTTTACAGCATCAGACTTTACTTCCATCAGCAGTCACATCCACAACTGGGTGGTGTTTTTGCCTTGGCTCCATCTCTTCATTCTTTCTGGAGTTATTTCTTCACTGATATCCAGTAGCATACTGGGCACCTACTGACCTGGTGAGTTCATCTTTCAGTGTCCTATCTTTTTGTCTTTTCATACTGTTCATGGGGATCTCAAGGCAAGAATACTGAAGTGGTTTGCCATTTCCTTCTCCAGTGGATGTTGTTTTGTCAGAACTCTCCACCATGACCCATCCATCTTGGGAGGCCCTACATGGCATGGCTCATAGTTTCACTGAGTTAGACAAGGCTGTGGTCTATGTGATCAGATTGGTTAGTTTTCTGTAATTGTGTTTTTCATTCTGTCTGCCCTCTGATGGAGAAAGATAAGAGGCTTATGGAAGCTTCCTGATGGGAGGGAGGGACTGAGGGGGAAACTGGCTCTTATTCTTATGGGCAGGGCCATGCTCAGTAAAGCTTTAATCCAATTTTCTATTGATGGGTGGGGCTGTGTTCCTTCCCTGTTGTTTGACCTGAGGCCAGACTATGGTGGAGGTAGTGAAGATAATGGCGACCTCCTTCCAAAGGTCCCATGCACACACTGCTACACTCATTATTAAGAAGAGGTGGTAAGAATACACAGAATATCTATGCAAAAAAACATCTTCACGACCCAGGTAATCATGATGGTATAATCACTCACCTAGAGCCAGACATCCTGGAATGCAAAGTCAAGTGGGCCTTATGAAACATCACTATGAACAAAGCTAGTGGAGGTGATGGAATGCCAGTTGAGCTATTTCACATCCTAAAAGATGAGTCTGTGAAACTGCTGCACTCAATGTGTCAGCAAATTTGGAAAACTCAGCAGTGGCCACAGGACTGGAAAAGGTCAATTTTCGTTCCATTCCCAAAGAAACTCAAACTACTGCACAATTGCACTCATCTCACACCATAGCAAAGTATTGCTCAAAATTCTCCAAGTCAGACTTCAACAGTACGTGAACTGTGAACTTCCAGATGTTCAAGCTGGATTTAGAAAAGGTAGAAGATCCAGAGATCAAATTGCCAACATCCAGTGGATCACTGAAAAAGCAAGAGAATTCCAGAAAAAACATCTACTTCTGCTTTATTGACTATGCCAAATACTTTGACTCTGTGGATCACGACAAACTGGAAAATTCTGAAAGAAATGGGAATACCAGACCACCTGACCTGCCTCTTGAGAAATCTGTATGCAGGTCAGGAAGCAACAGTTAGAACTGGATATGGAACAACAGACTGGTTCCAAATTGGGAAAGAAATACATCAAGGCTGCATATTGTCACTCTACTTATTTAACTTATATGCAGAGTACATCATGAGAAATGCCAGGCTGGATGAAGCACAAGGTGGGATCAAGACTGCTGGGAGAAATACCAATAACCTCAGATAAGCAGATGACACCACCTTTATGGCAGAAAGTGAAGAAGAACTAAAGGGCCTCTTGATGAAAGTGAAAGAGCAGAGTGAAAAAGTTGGCTTAAAACTCAACATTCAGAAAATTAAGGTCATGACATCTTTTCCCATCACTTCATGGCAAATAGATGGGGAAACAATGGAAACAGTGAGAGACTTTATTTTCCTGGGCTCCAAAATCACTGTAGATGGTGATTACAGCCATGAACTTAAAAGACACTTGCTCCTTGGAAGAAAAACTGTGACCAACCTAGACAGCATATTAAAAAGCAGAGACATTACTTTGCCAACAAAGGTCAACAAAGTCAAAGCTATGGTTTCTTCCAGTAGTCATGTATGGATGTGAGAGTTGGACTATAAAGAAAGCTGAGCACCAAAGAATTGATGCTTTTGAATTGTGGTGTTGGAGAAGACTCTTGAGAGTCCCTTGGACTGCAAGGAGATCCAGTCTATCCTAAAGGAAATCAGTCCTGAATATTCATTGGAAGGACTGATGCTAAAGCTGAAACGCCAATACTTTGGCCACCTGATGTGAAAAACTGACTCACTAGAAAAGATCCCAATGCTGGGAAAGATTGAGGGCAGGAGCAGAAGGGGATGACAGAGGATGAGATGGTTGGATGGCATCACTGACTTGATGGACAAGCGTTTGAGTAAGCTCCAGGAGTTGGTGATGGACAGGGAAGCCTCTCAAGCTGCAGTCCAGTGGTTCGCCAAGAGTTGGACATGACTGAGTGACTGAATTTACTGAACTGGGGACATTTCTTATTTGTGTCATTACAAAGCTCTTCTGTCAAGAGAGCAAGATGAAAATTTAATATTGTTCTTCATCAGAGCGGTTTTCAAACTACTACCTAATTATTACATAGACTAGAAGAAACTCTTTTTTCATCTGAAGTAATAAGTCAGAATAAGATAGAACAGACATTGAATAGTTTAATACTTACACTGCTATTTTGTCAACCCACTATTTCTCAATTACATATTAATCCAAAAATCAATGACTCTCAAGTCATAATTTTTTTTCCCTTTAGGTTGAAAAGCAGTATTTTACTGAGGTACGAAAGTAGAATTTTATTTTCTAAAACTAAAACCTTTAAAGAAAAATATTAGGTACACCTTTATTTGGACCAAAACATATCAAAGTATCAAAAGTACCAAAACATATCAAAAGTTTTATTTTTTCCTCATTTCCTTTCATTATGAGTGACAGAATACTATATAAAAACTATCAAAATAGTCAGAAGTACCAGAATGTTTCATTGAAAAAAAAAAAAGAATTTTTAAGAACTTAGGGGAAATGAGGGGAAAAAAAGTTTTTCTCAATCCTGTAGAAAGGGAAATGAAGCCCATAGTTTACTAGTACAGTAAAAGTAAGTTTTCCTTAATTTTTAAATTTTTTTTCTTTCCGAGTGAAATTTATACCTTATCCACAAAATGTATAAAGAATACTTTGGGAATATTCTTCAACTGCTTATTTCCCAAATTATCTGCAAAAATCTTAATATTGAATATGTGTGTGTGGGGTATTTATACATTAATTTCAAAAACATTATACTAATTTGTCCTAATACATTAATTGATAACCAATTTAAGATTTCTTGTGTAATAGTAAAGCAGTAATACCTCAGCACCAGACCTTCATGTCCTTTCTCAGTCACTATCCTCACTCCAACGGTAACTAATATTCTGACTATTCTCACCACAGATTAGATTTGCCTGATTTCTTAGCTTTTTATAAATGAAATCATGGACCATGTATTTTTGTGTTTGTGTCTTTCATTCAATACAATGTTCACCCATGCTATGGTTATTTTCATTGCCATTTAATATTCCATTGTATGATTATGCCATGATGGATCCACTCTACTGTTGATGGAAATGTGGGTTCTACTGTGGGTTAAGAATAGTGCTGCTTTGAACACTCTTATTTATGTATTTTGGTGTATATTGTGAATATATATATAGCTACTGAGTAGCAAATGATAGAATTGATGTTATATACATACATTTAATGTTAGCAGATATTGCTAAATAAATACGCACTCTCACAATTTAAAACCCCCAGTGCTACAGGCTTACCTCTCAACGCATTTCTCTTTTTCTCAAGATCATGACCTCTCAAGGCTTGGGTGTCTTAGTTGCTTTCTGCTGCCTTCAAACATCAGTTTATTGATTGACCTAGTTTTTCTACTTGTTCATGGTTGAAGATTGATCTGATTGAATGTATTCCATTTATAGTCAGAAGTAGAAATTCCTCAGATTAGTTTGTATTCTTTTTGTCTCTGCCAATCCATGGTGATGGTTAAGTATTTGCATATGAATCTGGAAGGCATAGCTACTTCACATACTTCTACTTAACTCCTATTGTGGCTTGAACAATCTTATTTCAAAACAAAGCCCTTAAGATTCTCTTGGATTTGGTTTAATGAGAAACATGTGAGGAAAGACTCAAAATGCCCACTTTTCAGAATCGCTTTACTATATCTTGCTCCAGCCCAGGCAGAATGAATTCCTTCAGGAAGTAGGATGTTTACTGTCTCAGAATTCTATCTCTTTCTTTCCCCGTGTCTTCCTCAAAGCAAAGGACTTCATTAATAATCTTTACTATCTAAGGACATTTTATACTATGTATATTCACTGGGTTTCCCTGGGTCAGTCCTAAAGTATATGCATTCCTCTGTGTTCATTAACTTTTTCCACTGAGGTGTTAGACCTCAGAAAATAGGATGTAAGTTGGTGGTATTATATTTTGATTACATTTAATCAGTTACTGTAGTTCTATCTACTGATTATACCACACTGTACTTCAAAAGTTGGGTAGGTATGTATTGTTGGCAGTAACAGTTCTGTAATTATTTCTACTAATGGCACAACAGTTCAACGAAAATGTCGAGTTCTTTTTATGCTAAACAAATTTGTAAATAGAAAGCATTCTTTTCTAGAGCTGGGTCTATGTTTTGTTAGTCTATGACATATATAGTTACCATATTTCTATAAATATATGTCAACCAAAAATTCCATTGACACACCTATAGCTGTTAATAAATAATAAATTAAAATAATCCATTTATTTACAGGCTGAAGGTAAATAAGATACTACTCCCAAATTCTCTTCTTCAGAACATCATAGTTTTTTTTTTTTTTATTTCATTTTTTAAATTAGATCCCATTCCATAAATCTGTTTTGAAGCAAAACTTATGCTCTGACTTTAAAGCTTTGTAAGGATCCTCTTGACCTAAACAATAAATGGCTAGAGATCAGTGTTGACGGTTTCCTAGCAACAAATTAAATGCTTGTAAATCCTTGATATGCACATGGCCTCTTTACTTCAGAAAGCTGTTTATTAAGGTCAAGATCAATAAATACTTCAGATAATAACAGAGACCCCTAGTCACAGTCAAGAGTTATTCCTGTAAATGTCATCAGATCAGTCACAGGAAATGGGTTATTTTTATGATCTCACTCACAGCTACATCACACATGGAGTTGCCTGTGTATAATCATGGTGAATCACGGCAGTTTTTCTCAGAGTTATGCTTACAATTGCCAAGTACTAATATAATATTTGATGTAGTGCCAAAAACATCTATATCTGAAGCATTCCGTGGTGAAACCAAGCATAATAAAATCTAATTGGAAAAAAGCACTTCAAAAAGAAAACCAGAAAGGCATATCCCATGGTAAAATCTATTTGTGTGCTAAAACATCTTTTGTTAGGTTAAGCACAGACTTCCTTTTGGGGTCTTTCTTGGCCAATTAATCCCCAAGTTTCAATTCAACTAAACAGCGTGGTCTAAAGATAGCTTGCAATTTCCTGGGTCCCCAAAACAAAGTGAAATCAAACAACTCAATTTTGATAATGGAAAAACACTTTCTTGCTCCTAAGCAATGAGTCAAATGAAGTGTTACAAGAAATCCATTGTGTCTTTCTAGTCTCCAATGAACCATTTATAGAAAAATATTTTTAATCAATCACCTTCACAGGCATTCAGACCCATTCTACTATAACTAATGTACTGTCCAAGAACTGCCAAAGGTAAAAGTAATTTCTGACAATGCTTATCACAAATGAAAACTACAGAAGTCTAACATCTTAAAGAATAAAACAGTGTTAAACTTTAATATGGGGAAGATGGATAACATGTAATACATACTGTTTTCATATCTAAAGTAAACCCTAAAGGCAGTGAAAATAACAACAAACTCATGCCTAACTTTGAACAATTAATTACAAATACTTACTGGATTCAATGAAATACTTCTAAATATAAACTCCCAGGAAATAGCAAACAAATAATAACTTATAAGGAGTTCATTTTGCTTATACTTAAAATTTTTTTCAGAAACTTTGAGCCTTTTTTCCATTAAAAACAGACATAAAAGGACATGATTCACCCCCACCCCAAAAGTCCTATAGATAACTTATATGTTACATCAAGTCATTAAATTTTCCCTCAACAACAACAATAATAAAAATAAAGTGGTCTCTAACAAGTGTAAGACCTAACATGTTGTTCTTTTTAAACAGTTCTTTCCTCTGTATACTAAGGTATATCTCAATGTTTAAAGGTCAATTACTAAATACAGTACTTTTCTAATAAGTCTGTTACAGGGGGTGTCTTTTCTTATAATTCAAATCAAATGTTTTCATACAAATATTAGTTGCAGCAGCCAGTAATCTTTCTAAAACCATTTCTAGTTAAAATTATTAGTGAATTAGTCTCGTAGGGGAAAAATCCCTCTGTAACTTCTATATTAAAATTTCTATATAATTTCTATGTCTTACAGAAAAAATCTCTGGGCACTGAAATAAAATCAAATGATACAAGTCAAAGATGAACTGCTATAAATAAATTATATACCATGTTTCTCTGAATCATAATAAGAAGGTTCTGTTAAAAGTTTGACAAAAATATCTATGTGGCATCTGTAGGATAAACAATGTATAATTAATAGGTTTAGAGGAACAGACCTCAATTCAGAAAATCAAGAATATGCCCCCAATGGAATATCTTATATAGTGATGATAATCCTTTCTGAGTTTTAATCAGAAAAGTAATGAAAAAGAAATAATGATGATACTTCTAGTCGAATATTTATGTTTTTTAATGACAATTGTAATGCATACAACATTTTAGGTTCATAAAAATGAAAACTAAAAATCCACCCCCCCAAAGAAAGACTTATGATTTGATATGAAAGACAGACATAGTACCTTTTATTTCATGTTGGCTTGCTTCTCGTCTTCTTTCTAGTTCTTTTCTGTCATAATTCAACCTTTTTAAGCACATAATTCCATATTGTAAACTTGTTCTGTTATTTTTTTTTAAAAAAGGAGAAAACACAGTGAGTTTACTCAGTAGGTGATTAAGCATAGTCAACACTATGCCTTACTTCTTTGACAATATGTTAATAAGTTATATCTGTAATTAAATTCTTTAGGATTATAGGGAAATAAAATTATAGTTATTCTAAGCACTCAGTGTTTCTAAAGAGTAAAGAAAGCATTTTTGAAATAAATTAAACATAGTTTTAAAATAATCTTGGATTTTGTTGTTCATCCACATTTTTGTTTTCTGTTATTTTAGCATTGTTTGAAGACAAATGAACGTCTTACTCACTTGAAAATAACTTAAAGAGAGTCACTATTACTGAGTCAAGAAGGGATTTATAGGAAATGGTTACCCTCCTTTTCATGATGAGAAAAATAATATAAAAATATGAGTAAGTTAATTATTAACATATAGAAGCAAATAACAAATGGCTACCAACTCTTAAGTAATAGAGAAGTATGTGAAAGGAAAAAGTCAACAAACACTGGAACTCCCTATGGAGAAGATATTGTGGATGAGCAGAAAACCGACTGATCCTTAAAGATCAAGCAGAGAAAGATGACGGGGCACCATGAACACAGGATTGCTGATGAAATGTTAAATATGTGGTGATAGTGAGACCCACTGTCCAGAGTTTAGAATCCATGTCAGGAAATAAGGAGGACTGTGATTTCACACGGAGAATGGGGTTACATTAAGAAAAACATGCATTCAGAATAATGTGGGACACGTCAAGGTGATAGAAAATTACTGGACAATTTTCAAAGAAGAAAAACATTAAAGGTTTTGATTTAAGAAAGAATGAATCTGATAGCAAAACAGGAATTGGGAAAAAGAGGTAATTCTAGGTAATAGGGAAATAAGTGTGAGGAATCAATGCTGTCAAAATTATGGTCACAATAGAGACAATGAAAAGCATGAAAAGAAAATCCAAAACCCAGAGATGTTTGAAGAGAAGAAAGACTCAGTGACACTATATATAAAGGTTATGGAAGAGTATAGTAGGTAGAAAGAATCTCTAGGCCTCAAGAATGAAGAGCATTGATTATTAGTGATTTCTTAAATGTTTAGAATTATAGACAAAGACATACACTGGAGAAGGAAATGGCAACCCACTCCAGTATTCTTGCCTGGGAAATCCCATGGACAAAGGAGCCTGGTGAGCAAACAGTTGGGGTCGCAACTGTTGGACATGGGGTCGCAAACAGTTGGACATGACTTAGTGACTTTCACTTCACTTCACTTCACTTAGACACAACACACTGGCCAGGCTACTCTTACATGCTGGATGCACTTCTAAGCCCTGCATTTTTAGTAAAACAATGCTGAGTTCAAACAGTTCAGAATCAGAGGAAAATGAGAAAAAAAAAAAAAACTACATTAATTGCTACTATTGGATGAATTGTGTTCCCCCAAATTCTTGTGTTGAAGCCCTAACCCACCCTACTTCCGAATGTGACTGTAATTGGAGATCGGGTCTTAAGAGAGGTAATTAAGATGAAATAAGGACATCAGGGTAGACCTTAATCCAGTATGACACAGAAAACTGGGAAGTATTCATGCACAGCAAAGACCACCTGTGGATACACTGAGAAAGCAGCTGTCTGCAAGTCAAGGTGAAGAAACCAACAATGCTGACACTTTGTTTCCTAGATTCCAGAACTTTAAGAAAGTGAATTTCTGTTGTTTAAGCCACCAGTCTGTGGCATTTGTTATGTTAGCCCAATTAAACTAATTCAGTGGATGCCAGATAATACTGATATGAAAACCATCATAGACATTAGCCAGCTTGAGATTAAATCAGTGGCTCTTTGTCTAATTTCTGCCAGACTTTTATATGTAATGTAAAATTGTGCTATAAAGGGGATATATATATATATATATTGTTACAACAATGTCGGTCAGATGGAAAATAGCTATAAAGACAGCAGGTTGTCATGTACAGTCAAGTACTACCTGCTTTAGGTCAGAGCTCAGAACAAACAAGAACTCTGCCATTTGAGTAATTTTGATTCCTTTAAAATATTTTTTTAATACCCCAAACATTTTTTATTGGGCTGTGGCCAGTTAACAATGTTGATTTTTTTTTTTTAAAAACCTGATCACTGGGTTAACCATTTCTCTTATAATAATAATAACTAAAACTGGTCTACTGAAGAATACAAAACAGGCCCAAGGGTGTCATCAGAAATTCTGGTATTCAAAAATCTATTGCAACCACACAAAATTCAAGGGCTTAAACATTCAATGACAGAGAACTCACTACCTCACAGTGTGTGCTATATAGCAATAGCGATATAAAGTTTTGCTATTGGACATAAATCGCCCACTCTATAATCTACACCTATTTGAAATAGGAAAGCATATATTCAAGAGAGCAAATATTATTCTTCTATCACATATGTTAAAACATAAGTAAATTTTTCTGAATTCTTCCCTATCCAATCTAAATTTAATTCCTTCCTTTCCCCTAGACTTCTACCGCTCTATCACAGTTTAATATCCACAAATGAATACAGTTTCTTGTTGTCATCTCACCACAGAGGAGGACTTTTATTATGCCTGCCAATAAACACAGTACTGATATGCCCTGTCAAGCCATTAACCAGAACTGAGACTTTTGTGTCAACTATAAATAACATTTTTTTTTCAATTGAACTGCTTTTAAATAATGAATTCCCAATCAAGCATTTTAATGGTTTTTAAAAATGGTATTATATTTATCTCTACTAAATTTAATCCAATAGTGTCAACAACTGTTAAAATTCAAAAGATTTTGATAAATTTGACTGAAGAATCTCAATTATTATCTTTTTATCCTAACTTTATGTCATTAACATATATGATTTTTATACCATTTTAATTTCAGTCATTAATTAAATGTTGGACAGGATGTGAGCAAATAGTTTGCCAAATTGTATAGATTTATATTTATTTACTATAATTAACTATATATAAAATGATAATAATACAACTGACAGTTTTGCAGATGACTTACAAAGAGATCAGGCTATAACATATCATTTATGACATGGTATTGTAAGAAGTGTTTTTTTACCCCCTGGATAATAAACAACTTGAAAAAAGAATTTTCATATTTTTAATCACAGCAATTTACTTCTCTGTGTTCTTACCACTGTCTTATGTATTATTCACTGTTCTTTTCCTGAAAATCAATGCACAAATAAGCAAAAGCACTGAAAGATTTATATAAAAACAAAAATGTTTTTCAGAGAATTCCTTCTCAAATTTTTTTCTAGCATATCCCTAAGTTACTTAATTTATAACTACATATATCTATAGTTGAAACTGATGAATTTATTCTTAATAAATATTTTTCTACAATGAATACATAGATTCAAATTGCAAACATGAAATTTCCTAAAGATACAGGGGGAGGAAAGATCCACACTGTATGAGAATTTTGTACTAAATAGTTTGCCAAATTGTATAGATTTATATTTATTTACTATAATTAACTATATATAAAATGATAATAATACAACTGACAGTTTTGCAGATGACTTACAAAGAGATCAGGCTATAACATATCATTTATGACATGGTATTGTAAGAAGTGTTTTTTTACCCCCTGGATAATAAACAACTTGAAAAAAGAATTTTCATATTTTTAATCACAGCAATTTACTTCTCTGTGTTCTTACCACTGTCTTATGTATTATTCACTGCTCTTTTCCTGAAAATCAATGCACAAATAAGCAAAAGCACTGAAAGATTTATATAAAAACAAAAATGTTTTTCAGAGAATTCCTTCTCAAATTTTTTTCTAGCATATCCCTAAGTTACTTAATTTATAACTACATATATCTATAGTTGAAACTGATGAATTTATTCTTAATAAATATTTTTCTACAATGAATACATAGATTCAAATTGCAAACATGAAATTTCCTAAAGATACAGGGGGAGGAAAGATCCACACTGTATGAGAATTTTGTACCATCTAATTCTGTAAACTTTGGGCATGTAATATACACCCAGCTCTTCATGCAATTTATTGCATGAAGATATTTTTGCCAAACAGATGTACACAGATGTTTCAAAGAGCACATACTCCATATTTCTTAAATATCTCTTTATGTTCTAGCAATATATACATTAATTACTCTTTCACTTAAATTATCTCAGAAAAAACCTAAAACCTACCGATGGAAACTATCCACCATTTTTAAATGGACGCGGAGATCTTTTTTTGTTAGGTGATCTAGCATTCTTGCATCTACCAAGCATTCCATAAAATAACTTCTGTACTGAGGTAATCCCAGGCTGGGAAGCCATTCGTTTCCAATCCACTCATGGTTCATATCTCCATATGCCAGGGTCTGTAGAAAAACCGGACACTAGAATTGTTTTATAGCAGTCAAGTTTCTTAACCAATAAAATGAGATGGTAATTGGAGGATATGGGCCATCATTTTAATTGATATTTAATTCTTTTATATATTGAAATGAAGCAGAAATAATATTTAGCCTCTAAATTTGATTTATTTTGTACAAAGTGGAAGTCTGGGTCCTTGCCTACAAGGTCCTTGCCTAGAGTGAATCATTATGCTCACTTTTGTTTTCTCAAAAGGAATTACATTTTATACAAAATACATTTTAAATTCAAAAGTTAAAAATGAATGATCTAAACAAAGGCTGAGCTGAAAGATTCTTACTTTGTATAGTTAGATTTATTTAATCCAATTCTTACTTTGTATAGTTAGATTTATTTAATCCAACTTATTTTATCTTTTATCTGTCAGCCAGTATGCCACCATTTCCTTCTCTTCAATGCTGCTCTTATATTGCGGTGGTGTAATAGCAAATCTTGACGTGAAAACAGAAACTCCAGTAAATGAAGAGAGAAAGGAGCCCGAAGGCTAGAGGGCAGAATGCTGCAGCTTTCTGTGGCCTCTCTTGTTACCTAGTGAAGCATGCAACCAGGACTCTATAAAAATTGATGCGATCTTTTATAGATATCAGTCAATACAGACTTTGTGTTTAAAGAATCAGAGCATGACCGAAAAGTAAAATATAATCTAATTCTTTAATATAACAATATAAACTGATCTTACCAAACACTGTTCGTAAAAGTCAAAAATAAAACCCAAATCAACCATCGCCATTAAAGCAATTTTTAAAAAGAATTATTACTCTCTATTAATTTGACAATATTTTCCATTCAGATCCTTATCAAAGTACCAATTAGAACATGTGTTTCTAATTAAAATTGAAGCGTTCCTCTTATTTTGTGTGTTCCTAAAAAATGAAGTGCTTACCAAAACAAAAACCTAATGCAGCCCTAAGTTACTAAATGTAGGTCCTAGTAGTATCTGGGCTTCCCTGGTGGCTCAGTGGTAAAGAATGGGCTTTCAATGCAAGAGACACAGGAGACGCGGGTTCAATTCCTGGATCAGGCAGATGCCCTGGAGAAGGAAATGGCAACCTATTCCAATATTCTTGCCTGGGAAATCCCATGGACAGAGGAGCCTGGCCAGCTACAGTCCATGAAGGCACAAAAAGTTGGACATGACTGAGCGACTAAACAGCTACCGAACTACCGAAATTTTTCATACAAAGTTTGAATCACATTACCTGTAACACATTAATTCTTTTAGTTTAGAAGTATAATGCAGAAATGTTGAAAAAGGAACAGCTTCCCTACAAACATATCTGTATGTTCAAATTACAGATGTTTGGCTCATAATGCCATCTCAATAAATGGGAGTGACGTCTGACGTCCAGTTGCAAAGCTAACCCACGTCCCTCCAGCTCCCATTTCTCACACACTTTCCATTATTCTATAAAGCTTATGTGTGCTCAGTCATTCAGTCGTGTCCTACTGTGTGTGACCCCGTGGACCACAGCCTTCCAGGCTCCTCTTCCATGGGGTTTCTCAAGAATACTGGGGTGGGGTGGGGTGCCATTTCCTCCTCCAGGGGATCTCCCTGGCCCAGGGCTTGAACCCATGTCTCTTGCATCTCCTGCATTGGCAGGTGGATTCTTTACCACTAGTGCCACCTAAAGAATAGGTGATTCCAAACAAATTTTTTGAAATCTCTCCTCTTCCCCTTACATCCAACATAAATGATTCCTGATTAAATATATTCAGAGGGCGATTTCCAAGAAGTTTACATTGTAGTTCTTTTAAACGAGAAAGGAAATTTTCCTTTCAAAAGATGCCAGGTGTAAAATGACAGTCATCTTCTTGATTGCAAAATATGGTGATTTTAAAAGACCTATATAGTATTAAACATAATAAAGTTGAATACACAATTAAGCTAATCTTAAACTAAGTGAAGATTTAAAATATTATGACATACAGTTTTCTTACTTTATATATTCATAGCCTACTAAATGATACTGTTTTAAAGCATATGAATTTCCTACCTGGGCCCAGCTTCCTTCCTCAGATTCTTTCTGTGTTAGCAGCAGGAAATGATTAATAAAGCAGATAAATAGAAATTAATCTCAAATTAATACAGTAAATTTTTTCCTAGTAGAGCAAAATTGTTTTGCTATTAAAATGTTAATTAGGACACAGGAAGATAAATACACAGATCCTTATTCAGATCCACAGTAATCAACTGAGGCGTTCAAGGGTGACTACAAGGGCACCTATGTAATTTCTAATTTAGGCTAATTAAATACACACGTGATATATGGAGTTTTCATGATACATTTGATCTGGTCACTCCAAACCTTTTTAACTCTTAAAACTGTGGGATTTTTCATAATAAGTTATAATAAAAAAATTTTGATTATATACCTACAAATATACAATGCACAAATGTGTATACATACATACGATGGAGAAATCCTGTACAAAGTAAATTAATGGAGTGGACAAAGGAACTGCATCCCTCCAGCTAAGCTTTGCGGTAATGAAATGGGTCTCAACAACAAGCAGCAACAAATAAAACTCAATAAGAAAAGACCAAGTGCAACAAACTAGAGTAAAAATGTAATTAGTAAACAACACTGGCATTTTTATTCATCGTAAGCTAAATAATCAATTTCAAACATGAATCAAATGAAAAGGACACTAAATTAAAATAAGTTGCTCATAATAAAATGCATGGCATGCCCAACTTTGCTACTTTAAATGAGAAATTACTATAGATAATATTGTATTTTTAAAAGCTGACAATTATGAGTCACCACGGATTTCTTTAAGCATGTACTTTTAATACCAAATGGACACTTTTCATGGGGGTAATGAGAAGGAAGCTCTGTATCTGAGATGGGAAAGTACAAGAAGCTAAATGATTGCATTTAAAAAGGATATTCAATCTATACATTCTATTACAAATTTAATTGGGTTTGGTAACATGCATTACCTGGGAATATGCTGAGTTTTAAGTGATATTTGCTATCAAACATTTCCAATGTTGTGGAATAGATAAATATTATTAAATCCTTGATTACTTGTTTGCGTGTTACAAACTCTTATATTAACCACATTATGATAATCTAGTATGGCTTTATTTAAAAATGCCTAAATGCAGTGAAATTAGACCCTAATCATTGCATATCACTGTGTAAACATACCCATTACTCTGATTCTACGGTAAACAAAATAGCTTTTCCATGCAAATAGCAGCAAAATAATGTTTTTGTATGTTCAACAAAGCTGTAAAGACTAACCGTTTTTGCTGGAGCTGCAAGATTTTCCATTTCTTCATGGGTCACCCAAACGTTGCCTGAAGGCTAGCGAGGAGGCCCAGAGGGGAGCAGGGGGATCCACGGGAGTAAGCAGTGGTAAAGAAGAAAGGCAGCGCCTCTGTAAGTTAACGGAACCACAGTAACACCGCCACGCTCTTGCTTCTATAGCGTGTGCAAGAGACAGCATTGCTGGCTGCTCACAGCTCCCTTTCGCTTCTACTTCAAAAGATTAAATAGAAAGAGGCATGCTGTGAAGGTCACGTGGGACAGATTTAACATGACACTTCTGTAATTATTAATCAGGAAAAAGGCTTAATCAAAATTTGCATTGCAAAGGTATGTGGCTATTGGATCCATCTTTTTGTAATCATGGAGAACTGAATAGATTTGATCTGTAGAAGAATATTTTTTCTTCAGTAAACAAAGGCATGTGTGTTTTGTCATGTTATTACCAATATTTCCTTCACAAAGTTTTGATTCTTCAATGTCCTTGGAAAGAGAAAATTGGTTGTCAATACAAAGCTGAAAGTATTATCATAACCTGTCTGGAAATCAATATCAGTTTTTCCCAAATGACCTCTTCCTTTTACAGTTCAGTGAATATGTTGTTTTCCTACATTCTTATAGAGAAAAAAAGAAAGGAAATGCTATTTTGGATGTAATAAAAGGTTGTTTTTTTTTTCAGTAAATATTGTCAGAAGTCATAAAACTTGGGTTACCTGATTTTTCAGCAGTATCCTACACCATTATAGAGAAGAATTGTAAAAGAGAATTTTCCCTCTAACAGGCACTATTCTATTATGAAGTCTCATTTTCCTTTTAATAAAAACAACCCATGATATTTGTTTTATACACCGACTTACATACAATTTCTAAACCAAAGTCCATTTAGTAACATACAGATCACTGGGAACCGCTTCCCATCAAATACCATTTCACTGGGATATCTTTATGAACATTTCAGTATTGTCCAAGTACATCAATTCCACAGTTACAGTGAAATTTATATCCTAAGGATTATTTATTACTTATTTTGGAAGGGGTCTTGTTTTAAAGAATTGGAAGTAGCAAAATTGATACCCCAATATACATCATTACCATAATTTTCTCTGGCCTTTTCTACCAACACAGTACCATGTTAACTTAGCTTCTATTATAAATAATGGAATTTAATATAATTTTAAAAATAACTGCATATAAACTAAATTGATGAGTATAATTCAACATATGGTAAATCTCATGGAGAAGAGAATTACTCATGGTTGAGCAATGAAACAGTAAATATTCATTAGTATAAGTAAATCATATAGGCATAAAGATCTCAAAGGATAAGTATCATTTATACATATAGAATTCTCATTTTCCTACCATTTTGGAGTTTTGAGTATAAATGAATTTTTTCTTAAAAGATAAAACTACACAACTGTAAAATATAATACAGGGGCCATCCATGTCATTAAAAGCCCCTCCCTCTATCCCCAGCTTCTAAAAATGGTGCTCATTATAAACAGAAAGTTGCATGTGAATGTGATTATCAAATCACTTGGCGGAAGCTGCTTTCACTGACATTTTGAGGAGTGTACTCTGCGAAGAAGAGTTTTACACTCATCTGTCACATTCCCCTTAAACTCAGTGATGGTGCTGCTTGGCCTGAGTGCACTGTCTCTTCATCACTAGCTTCACTGATGGTTCCTCGAGAGGAAATTCATCTAAGCCAGACTGTTTTACAATGATGCCTACAGATTCCACCTTGTTTGTGAATCCAAGAAATGAAGATCTCCCTCCTTCTGTAAGAAACCTGACCGGTATTATTCCATACTGAAATGTAGATATGTACAATCTCTTTCCTTGTGGCTCAGCTAGTCAAGAATCCACCTGCCATACAGGAGACCTGAGTTCGATCCCTGAGTTGGGAAAATCCCCTGGAGAAGGGAACAGCTACCCACTCCAGATTCTGGCCTGGAGAGTTCCATGGAAATAGTCCATGGGGTCACAGAGTTGGACATGACTGAGTGACTTTCACTTCACTTCACGTAATCTCTTTCGCAGGTTATTTAAAGTCTATATCTGCCAGTCTATCACCTTATTCTGGAGTGAGTAGGATTCAAGGCTATGACTTAATCTGTACCTTTGCATGCAAAATGAGTATATATCCAGGACAGTTTTCTAAAGTATGGTTAGCAAACTTCCCGAAGTTGTAAGCTGGTCATTCACTTGTGCTCTGCAGTTTTACTTGGCAGGAGCACTGCCTGCTCTAGAGTCTTGAAAAGTAACCCATAAAATGACTCCTATGCAACCCAACCACTTAGGCATTAGTTGAGGTTTTCAACAAGTTTATTTTATAAGCAAGCCCACAGGTAGTAAGTCAATTATTAAGATTTGTTTCTTTTTATCACCAGTTTCAAGGATGGAACTTTCGTCTGGGTAAGTCATAAAAAGGGTGCTTTAGAGCACGAGCGTTTCAGCAAAGAGCACATCTTAGAGAATAGCTAGAGTTGGGATGCTTCGAGCAAGCAGACGACATAGGACACTGGTGCCATGAGTCCAAGGATAAAGACTGCAAAAAGTGGCCTGGAAAAGCGTAAGGACAAGCTTTTGGCTCGTGGCTTTCTGAGAGCCACTGAAACTCATTTACTCACTGCCCTTGGTAGTCTATGCTGCAACCCCCCAATAAATGAACTGGAGAATGCAAACCAGTAATTGATTTTTTTTGTATGTGTATGGCAAATACCATTTGAGCCTAGAAAATGATTAAAATTTTAGTTATCTGGAAATTTACTAAATTATAATCAAGAGGTTTGACTTCTAGCAGTGCCACTTCTCAGTAACTAGGACATTTCCTAAGCTTCTCTAGATTCTACATCTGTTAAGTAGGCTAAAACTACATACTCATACTATAAAAGATGCTAATAATTTTAAATTATGATGCAATATATTCTGATCCAGGGCTGGGACTAGGATGAGGTAGGTGGGGTGCCAAGGGGGCTCCATTCAAGGAAGCACTCATTTTCAGGATCATGCAAATACAAGGTCCTCACTGACAGTGAGACCCCCCATTCAGTTTCCTTGGAGATGCCTTGCTAGCCTTACCTTAGCTCAGAGGCAGTAGAATATTCAGTTAGTATTATCAATTGACATCTAGAAGGGAAATTCCTAAAGGAGGTTAAGAATTAAAGCTCTTACCTAATTAAATCATTCAGGAGAGAGTTATGATATAAAAATAAATATTAAAATGAGTTTAAGGGATAACATGAATGGTAATTGGGGGGAAATAATCCTCTTGCTGTCAGAAATACAAAATAAATAAAGCAGCCAGACCTCAGAACAACCCTGAACCTTATCTAGCTGTAACTTCTGTAATGACTTACATCATTTTGAAGCATTTTTTACTTTATAATTGAACTTCAAAGTAAATTAATTTGAAATTTACTTTCCACATTTAAAATGGCCTATATCCACATTTCTCCCTAATCTGACTTGATGTTTCTCTACCATAAAAGGAAAAATATTTCTCATATAATAAGAACACAACTGTATTTCACCTTATTTACTTAAAGGTTGAGGCTTAGGAGGTTAACAATTATGTAAAGGGGAACCAAAGTAGACTGAAAGAATGTTGTGAGAAAGAAGGAAAACTGGTAGAGTGCAGGAAGCAGGAAAGTACATTTGTCAGGAGCACAGACTATGGGGCAAAACCACCGCGCGTGCGACCTTAGGACAAGTCACTTAACCTCTCTGTTCCTCAATCCCTCCCATTTGTAAAACAGGTATCATGAAAGTACCGATCTCACAGCATTGTCCTCAGACTCAAATCAGTTGCTGCATGTAGAACACTTAGACCAGGGCCTGACACTTAGTTCTCCACTGATGTTGGCTGTTACTACCATTTTACTAGAAATCTCATTAAACAATCTCTACCCAAGTAAATCTTTAGTTTAATAAATGCTCTTTATTTCCCCTGTACATTGTGTTGAAGCTTATCTTATGCCCTCCATGTCTGCTCAAAATTACTAAATTATATGTTTACCAAAGATCATTTGTTTTTGTTCCCAAACCTTTTTACTTTCACAGCACTTTTTTTTTTAAATTAGTCAATTTAAGTAAATATTATATAGAGCCAAAAATTAAATAAACTTGGTTCATGTCTGAACACTAAGCTGAATTATTTGGAAAGACTAGATAAGGGCAAATATTAAAACACATTATCAGTGAGAAATACAACTTCAGCAAAGTCTAGGGAAGAATTTGTAAATTTCCAGGAGGATTCTACATTCATATAGCTTTTTGAGTCTCTTAGTTATCACTTTAAAAAGAAACTCAAACTTAAAAAGTTGAAAATGTTTAAAGGATGAAGCTATCAAATAAACATGATGTGAAACTCCAGGCACTGGAATTATACTAAAAGAAAAATCCTAGGGTTTCATCTAAATTTGCAAGTGCCTGAATATTTACATATTTTTACTTAAGATGAAATATTTAAAGAATTTATGTATTCTTTATGATACATCCCTTAAACCAAATATTTCAATTATCAGATATCTCCATCTCTATTCTGTTATATAGGAGGCCTTCTATAGTAACTATAGTAACATCTTAGGAAAAAGAAACAGAAAGCTGAAAGATTAGGGGTGGCCCAGAGAAATAAAAAATGTAAATAATAATAATGAATGAAAACATTAGATTTTTCTATTAGTCCATCTCATCTAAACAGAAAGGAGGCAGAGTTCTGTTCAGTTTTTTGGTTTTTTTGTTTTTTAATCTAAGTATCTTGTTTTTTTATCTTAAGAATTTGAGTGAATGAACAAGGTACATCTTTCTCAGGAACCCAAACCTAAACACATGGAATATCTTGTATGATCAGAACTGTTGGCAGTGTTCTAGAAGACATGATAACATTAAAAAAAAAAAAAAAGCCAACTCCTTTTGAAATTTCAAAGAGTGAATCCTAGTATATAATTTTAGGTGATGACTTTAAAATGTTTTCATCTTCACTTTATGTAGTGGATTAAAATCACATGTAATTTTTTTGCAAAGCAAATCATATTTGAAATACATTAAAAATAAGTAAATACTTTCATGTAGATAGAGTTAAAGAAATGTTTACAAAAAGCACTCAGTAGATTATTTTTAAAGCAAATAGAGACAAATTCTCTCTTGTGCAACTTGTATTGATATTTAGCTAAAGGCATATGTCTTCTGTGAATAAAGAGCTTTTACACATTAGCAAAAAAAAAAAGAAAATTTCTATAATGATAGAAAAGTGAAAAAGCTATGAATAGGAAATTCGTTTAAATGCTAAAATAAATAAGTATATGAAAACATTTTAACTTTCCTAGTAACTTTTAAAATGTAAACTTAAGCAATGCAGTCATTAACATTGACAAACAGGGAGAAAAGACTACACAATAGAATCTGGCAACTAAGGTTCAAAAGTAATAAAAATATAAATGCCCTCTATACAAATATTGCTACGGAAATAACCACAGTCAATGTAATAATATAACTACAGTCATACTCACTATGGCACTGTATGTAAATACAATGAAACTGCTAAATAAGCAAAATGTCCCATATTAGGGGGTTGGTTAAATAAATTAAAGGAGGTATGCAGCAATTAACAATGATACTACATTACATATTTAATATTAATAAAATGGGGAAAATATTCATGTTCTATTATTGGGCTTTAAAAGTACAAAATAATATGTAAAAATAATTTATTTTTATAAAATGAGAAAGAAAGTAGAATGTAAAGGTCTCTATCAAAAAGAATGAAAATATTAATGATTTTAATAATTAACAATATATTACCTGTCTTTCAAATGTTAATTTCTCTTTGAGCCATAATCAGAACTGACTTTTTCCTCCTTGGAATGCCAGAGCACTCTGCTTCTATCTCACATTAAGGAATAAAACTCTGTCATCTTCTACTAAACCTGCTTGTGAACATGTCTTCATTTTCTTAGCATGGCTATCCTCTCTCTGTAATCAGGGCATACATATTTCATATCCTGTGTAGTGGTGGGTAGTATGACTTATAAAATCATGATATTAAGATGCATATTTATTGACTATTTACAATTTGCCAGGCACTGAGTTAAGGCCTGCTGCTGCTGCTGCTCCTAAGTTGCTTCAGTCGTGTCTGACTCAATGCGACCCCATAAATGGCAGCCCACCAGGCTCCCCCATCCCTGGGATTCTCCAGGCAGGAACACTGGAGTGGGTTGCCATTTCCTTCTCCAATGCATGAAAGTGAAAAGTGAAAGTAAAGTCACTCAGTTGTGTCCAACTCTTAGCGACCCCATGGACTGCAGCCTACCAGGCTCCTCCGTCCATTGGATTTTCTAGGCAAGAGTACTAGAGTGGGGTGCCATTGCCGTCTCCGGAGTTAAGGCCTAGGGACTATGGAAAATCTGATAATATACTTACTTGGCCTACTGTGGGATGAATCAAGGAGAGAGAATTATGTAATAGCTTTTTGTAAGTATACAGAGCGATAACTTGGGAAGGGAAGCAAACCCAGACCTTGGAGTTTGATGAAAACTTTTCAGAGGAAGGACATTCCGGGATCATCAGAGGGAGGAAGAATTGGAGGCCAGTGACCCTGGAGTGGGAAGAATGTGCCAGGCAGGAGAAGAACAACGGAAAAAGCTTATGATCAACCCAACTCATAAAAGTTTAGGAAACTGAAAGTAGTTCTGTGTTCCCGGGATCCCGATCTGAGGAAATAAAGCCTTTGAGGTGAACTGAGAATAGATGAAGGAGGGTCTCATAAGCTCTCTTCACATTTGACTGTTCTTTGAACAACTGAGTATGCCCTTACCTTTCCCAGCTTCTGATTTAAGTTCCTTCAGTTTGCCTAGACATTTTTAGAAAAATAGTGCTTAATTACTCAATTTTCCTTTAAGAAACAGGATGCTAAATATAAGTCAGTTACATTTTATTTTTCATCTTTAAGTTGGGACTTCCATTGCTTTTACTTTTGCAAGATTAGGAATTTTAAATATTTTTGTTCAAATTTGCTCTTGGGAGGAGAATGTTAACAGAAACCAGTCATGATACTTCTCTCTCAGTTGGAAGTTACTCAGGAAACTCATCATCTGAATTCTGTTTATAGTAACCATTATAATGGCCTTCTCAGCTTTTATTTTAAATATATTCTGAATTACTTTTTAAGCTTTAGTAGTACTTCAGCATATAACATTTATATACATTTTAATATGCTATCAGTTCAGTTTTGTTACTCAATGGTGTCTGATTCTTTGCGAGCCCATGAATCGCAGCACGCCAGGCCTCCCTGTCCATCACCAACTTCCGGAGTTTACTCAAACTCATGTCCATTGAGTCGGTGATGCCGTCCAGCCATCTCATCCTCTGTCGTCCCCTTCTCCTCCTGCCCACAATCCCTCCCAGCATCAGGGTCTTTTCCAATGAGTCAACTCATTGCACAATTAATTTATGACAAAGGAGACAAGAATATATAA